TCACAGAAACAGAAAGGCATTGTTGTCGTACAGTATCTGGAAACAGAATCAGAATGGGAAAAAAAAGTAGAATCCTCATCAGAATTCCAGTCAAGCGCATTATTCAGCAGCTGTCATTACAGAAATCAGGAGCGAACACGCTGCACGGCCGCAAATTTTGCATATTTTATGCAACATGTGTCCAACATGTGGAGGTGGGTGGTAGCCTAGATTTTCTCTTTGACCAACCACATAAAGCGAATGAGCACAGCAATTACATAAATATGGACACGCTTCAGCGACAGGGAGCAGCTGTAGCACTGCCTTTATATCTTGGCTCTCATCTCAGCCCTTCTTCCTGTCACTGCTTTCTCATCCTGCTCGTTAATTAGACCAAAGCCAGAGTGATGCCGAGCTACATGTGTGGTAAAAAGAAGCTTATCTGAATTGAATCTTTACTACAAACATATATTTTAAAAATTTTCACTATTGCATAGGCACTGCAACGTTCAGTTTTCTTTGATTAAGGAAACCTAAACATATTGTACAGGTTTGTATTGTTATTTTTGTACTGGTGTAATAATATATGGTTGGAGCTTCACCTTCTTTGGGCTGGGACAGCACTGGTGTCTGTGTCTCTTTGGTGTAGGAAACTGTTTCACGAGGAGGGAAGTCTACATGTGTGATTTTGGCCAATCCCAGTTTTGGAGTCACACGCCTACAATGACAAAACAATTCAGAATTTGCAAATTGGAAAACAATTGGTGAAAAACAATATAACATCAATATTAGAAATAAGCTTGGAAAACATACAATTCAGTTTATAACTATACCTGTATTTACCTTTCACCTCATATGGTAAAACCTCTGTGTAGGTGGATCTTGTGCTGATTAAAGTATGTGAATGTGTTATGGGATGGTAAAAACACTGAGTTAGCATAGTAACTGCATGAACACACTTAACCTTTTCACTGTAGTGTAATCAATCAATAAAACATGCTATAGATTGATAGAAGGGAAAATGACCAGGAAAGGAGAGAAGAGAGTGTCCAGTACCCCAGCTCAGAGTCAGAGTGAAGTTGAAGTGTGGACGGGTCAGAGTCCCAGTGCAGAGTCCTGTTAGTGCCACAGCAACAAGGCAGCATTAGTGAAGAGACAAGCATGGGCACAAATGACATAAGAAGATCCAGTTAGCATTATGACACACAACATGCATACAAGCCCAAATTAGTTCAATTTGAATGTGATTGACAGTGTAAAGACTTAGATACTCATTTCATATCGTGTAATCCCAATGCGAGGTTCTGATGACACAAAACCCAGCGGTCAAAGAACATGTCTCCTTAAAGTGCGTATGACAGGTTTTGATGATTCTCTACTTAATTTAGTCAAATAATACCTGTTGTAAATATAAATTATAGTTTTACATGAATCGAGAAGCAATTTGCGAAGAAAAGTAAAAAAATATGTTGAAAATTACAGGAAATGCAGAATTTTAAAAACACTGATGATGACACCACAGAGAAGAATTCTGTACAAATGTTCGTCACAATTTACATGCAAGAATCACTTTTTTCTGTTACTTTAAACATTATTTCAACAAAATAAATGTGTTTTCTTGTATTGTTATAAATCAAATTATATTCTGTGCACATTAGAGGAGTTTTGGCCCAATGTACATTATGTTTGCTAGGTTACAGTTATGAAATTCTCTAGCGTGATGTCATAATTTCCAACCAGGAAGTAAAATTTAAAAGATAAAAAAATGGACAGAAAGAGTAACATGTTTTGCAAAATCTTAAATATAATGATCTTAACTTTGCTTTAGTAAAATGTGTAGTCTAACCTGTCATACCCACTTTAAACAGTTGAGAATCAGATATCACAGGTTGTACCCGGCTGCCTGAGGGGCTGATGGACGCTGAGCTGTAGCACACCAAAAACCTCTGAGAGTGGTGTGGACAGAGCGCGGCAGAGAGAGAGGACCCTCGGGGAGAAAACATGACCTCCATGTGTGTAGGAAATGGCCATGCTGGTGAGGGAAATGAGTCAACACGTAGGGGGAACAGCTCCCTGGGCCTGATGGGACACTGGGGGCGCTTGAGTTTCAGCCCAGGGAAGGGGCTCTAATTAGGGGTTAAGAAGTCCCCCAGGCATCACAAGCAGCCCGCTGGTTTATTGTTAATTTAGGATCGTCCTAATTCAACGGCACACAAATTAAATAAACATGCACTCGGTTGGCATAAACTCGTCATCAGTCACTGTAATGCTAGGAAAGCTTCAGGTGCTTACTCCACTGGAAGTAATAAAGTGATGTTATACGCTATTTGTAACCTTAAACAAACCCCACCACTCAAAATACTTTTTCCCACCATGTTTTCTTTTAAAGTGGCTGGTGTTACGAGCACACTTGACAAAACTTGACAGCTACAGCATAAAGCGAAAAAACACCATAGCAACAGCATTGCAGTACAACATTTGATCAGACTCAGACAATTGTTCCTAATTGTACCAAAAGCATGGTTTTGTTTGTATGTAATGTATCAGTGGGAGTAGGAAAGTGTTAGTGATTCAGACATTTTTCGGGAACAGAGTGACTCTACCTGGGTCCCACAGCTCCATCGGAGTCCTGGCTCCCTGCCTCGCTCGGCGTGCCCGTGGATTTGGCAGTGGGAGACATAGGAGGAGGAGGCACTGCACAATAGCACACACAATAATCATCTCTTACACTTGAAGTATGCTTAGGTGTGCACAACAGTGGACAGATGCATTAGCACAGATATGTGGTTCCAATTTTGGTACACAATTTACAAGTAATGTTGCTTTATGTTGCTGCCAGCAGCATAACACAGTTCAGCCATCAATTTGCCATACATCATTTTAAGGAGAAGATAGAGTGATAAATAATAAAGAAAAAAAATAATAAAAATGATGTAACTATTAAAGCTTTGTGTGATTTTCCTCTGTAGCAGAGCTGGTTTCTTTAAAACATTTTTATGGATCTCTTCTGCCACCTGGTGTTAGAAACGTGATAGTGTTCATTAACAACAAATGTAAAAAATAAAATATATATATATGTATTTACACTTAAATTGGTTAAATCTAATCCTTAATGCAGTGATTAGATATTTTCTTTCACTTTTGGATCCTGTTTTATTCTTTCTTTTTTTTTTCCTATGGTCCTTGGCCGTAATTTGTCAGTTGCTTATTTTAACAGTGTAACAACTCATCATTAACCAAAACCATTTCAACACACGTCAAACTACTGCACTCATCAAAAGTTGTATTTAAAGTGAAACATACCAGAGGGACTTTCTCCAATCCCCATACTCTGTAAAAGGGCTTCAGCTTCACGCCGTTTTTTCTCCAGGTCAGAGTCATCTTGATGGTGTGAGACATCTTTCAGTTGTTCGGCCTAGAAATAACAGGAATAGATAAAATGAAGTTTTAACAAGTGTTGTGTAAAGCAACTCTACATTGACTATTTATTTTTAGACTATTTTTGACAAACAATAAAGGTACATGAACAAAAACTTATTCACACATAGGTCTACATATAGTTTAAAAGCAATATATGTTTTTTATGTGTGTTATACAGCTGCACTGACAATAGAACATAATTACATACACAATTAAGGTTCATTCATGCATTGTTCATAGACTGACCCTAAAATCTACATTATAATTAAAATCTAGATTATAATTAAATTGAAAGCCCTTAGAAAATTAAATCTACCTCTTTTTTCTTTCGCTCCTCCTCCTTTCGCTTCTTCTCTTCCCTGATTTGGGCCAACCGCTGCTTCTTTCTCTCAAGCTCTGCCTTTAGCTCATTCTTGTCAGACATGGTGGCCCAGCTAGGACAAAATCATCTGGTTATTCTCAAATAAACAAAAGAAAAAAAAAATATATATATATATCTTTTTTATTTTGTTCAATTTAATATTGTTTTGTCTCTGTTAATTTAGTTGAACTGCATGCCAGCTCCTTGTAATATATAATATACCTGTATGATGGTTTAGTTCAAAGTAGGTCAGAATAAAATATTATTGAAATGGTGTTCAGGAGCTGACCAATCCTACATGGTTTTAAAATTGCATTATATTTAGATACGCAATGTAAAACTGAAAGTTGAATGAATTGTAACATTTGATGGCTAGCTAAAGATTTTAGGAGCTTAACCTATGTCCAGTAGCAGCTCAAGCCGCCCCACCCTGCGTGACAGACACTGGCTAGCCTATCGTAACGTGGTTTCTATCAACGACACCGTTTTTTGCATTGATCTGCTTGATTAATTTGAAACAACACTTAAAAATAATACAATTTAGCCCATCATTTTGTAGTTCTCCTTGTAAATATCTTCATTCATTAGGCCTGTGCTCACAGCATTAGCTAGTCTTCATTGTTTTGAAAGTAGTCGGCTCATTTCCTCTTAGGGAAAATCACATAAAACGGGTGTATTCCAATAGCTGTGGGTATAATTTATCTTTCATAACTAAGTATTCCGCGCACATTTGTAGTTACACTGGAACATGAACTCATGTCTGTATAATTAGCTCGTTAGTAGCCACCGGGATCCCCCGAATCACAGTTGGAAGCCATCAAATTTCGATCTCTTCGTCAAAACGTTGGTCAACAAAATACACGAAAATTTTAATACATAAATGCATCTAACAGTTGCATTACAATTAGTTCAAAAGAGTCAACTAACCTTACAGTGGGTTTCTAACCTGCCAGCAAAGGTTCAGCTAACACAGGAAAAACAAACGGCCCGTAGCAGGCTGCCGACTACCGGTGCCGAGGAGAGTCAAACAGTATTTGGCGCTTGGACGTTGTTGTGTCAAATCAGGACAAGTCATGAAATGAGTATATATTAATATATATTCAGTGTTCTTCCTCATCATACCATATGTGATGCAATGTTAGGATTATTTTATTTAAAAAATAACTATACAGTGATATAAATGACATTTGCAGAAAGATTACACATTATATATATACAGTGTATACATACATACACATAATTCATTATATATATAATAAATTTAATATATATTTTCTAAAACGTATACAGCCAACAATATAGGGTAAATATATCCACTTCAAAGTTGTTTTCATCCTCTTTATGTTTTCTTCTGACATCTCTAGTCTCAGCATCTGCTACTTCAGGTAGTTGTGTCAGAGCTGGTTCCACTTTTTCCCTTGTCCTCTCCCACCTCGTCGGTATGCAGGGTATGCAAGACCTGGTCACTGGGCCGTTTCCAAGACACTCGAGTGACAGTGTACACTACAACAGCTCCAAAAGCCACCAAGAGCACTCCAAGAACGTTCACAAAGAGCGCTTCAGGTGGAGACTGGCTATACTTGGGGCTTTTCCTGTGGGATAAAGTTCAACAGTTATTCTAATAATAATATTCTGAACACTCTTTTGAACATTTCTCAGCTTACTTACAAGGCAAAGATGAGCTTTTCTGTTATGCCCATAAGTGCAACAGAGATGATTCCTGCAAACAGCAAAGTTCCAAAAAAGACGTGGAGTGGCATGAACGCTGCTCTCCATGACACGGGTGTGATGGGGATCAGGTACAAGACAACTCCAGCAACAATCTGTTCAACAGGTTCAAGTTATTACCAGAATGTCCAACATTAGTGGATCACGGTATGGAGGTTAAAGCCTACCTGTAAGCTGTAAAGTATTATAGCTGCTAACCCCAGCCAGCTGTGCAGGCTGTACATGTTTGGGATTTTGGCAGTGTTATGAAAATCAAACACTGCTATTGTGGATATCACAGCCAAAGTAAAGGCCAGTAAGTGTAAGCATGCATGGATCCACTTCATCACCAACTTGTTGCACGCCCAAGTCCAAGGAAGTCTGAAGATGATTATGGCTGTAAAAAAAAGAAAATACTGTTAATGACACAATCTTTAATATAAAAAAGTTTTGGTGAGAGTATTTTAGTACTGTTGCCTTTATCTTTGGCTTAGATAAAGTTCCTCAAACTCCAATGTCATTCTACATATTTGAATGCAAGCCAATCTTGCATAACATTGGTTGTAAGCACTGCCCCTCACAGACAAGAAAATTAATGCAAAGACTCACCAGCTCCTTGCAGAAATATCAAGCCAGCAACCATTAGGACAGGATGCCAGTTGAATTCCGCCGACCCTCCATCCCAGGCCAACCCTTCTCTGTAGTGGAGGACCCATGTCAGCACAAATATAATGGAGAGTGACCCGGTTATCGCTGCAGCGCACAGAGCAGACAGAAACACTTTATAATTCTCCATAGTTTTAGTGTTACGCAGTCTCAAAACAAGCAGCTGCTGTTGTCGCAAGTGGAGTTCTTGGGGGATGGCGGCTGGTCACGTGGCATAAAGGTGGGCGTGAGTGAAAACTTGGAGGAAAAACGTTTGGTAACTTCTGATGGTTACAGAAGCTGAGTTATACAACGTGCGTCATCCAGACATGATGTTAGTTTGCATTAGCGCGACATTACGCAACTTGACAAAATTTGCGCTGAGTAAGTGACTTGTCAGCAAAAAATTACTACCGCAAACCGTACCGCACGGTTCTAGCCTACATCAGTTCACCTGAGGCGACCCTCTCTTGTCACTCTTGTCAGTGGAGTGGGTAGTTCCCATGGAGAAGGACTAGACAAAGAATACTGCCATCAAGATTTTTTTGTTTGTTTGTTTTTTATTTTTTTTATTATTATTATTTTTATTTATTTACACAATTTGGTTAAATTTACATTAGACATTGGTAAAACATATATTTCAGTAAATGTTTGGTATGTACAATATGTTTTGTATAAGTTATAAGTTTAAAAACACCACTCAATATTAATAATTTATCTGAGTGGAGTTGTGAAAATATTTTATATACTGTAGACGTTACAGGCTAGGATAGGCCTTGTAAACTAAAGCCAATAGTGTTGCTGCTTACCTTAAATAAAATCAAACATGTCTGGAGTGGTTTTACTTTTTATGTTTTGCTAGTCTGACAAAAATGTCAAAAACATAAATTATTTTAAAAATAATAATTTTATTTATTTCTACTTTTTGTGACATATAAAAGACTAACATATAAAACAGAATGTACATGACTTTGGTAGTTTTGATACATCAATCATTTCACAGCAGCATCAAGTTTGTAAACATGACAACAAAAGGTGGTCTTCTGCTGCTCAATGTGCACAATTGTGTCTTTGTCAAAAATCAACTCATGCCGGTAAGTCTGGAACAATACACACCACAATTTAATCCTTTTATAAATCATATTACACTGAAACTCATTTAGAAACCTTTACCCACCTCATCCCAAGATTCAGCTAGCTCAATGGTCCGAAGTAGTTGTCCATTCTGATTGTCATAGAGTCGGATCTGCACTGCTCCTTCCTCTCCATTTGTTACCACCACAGCTAAAAGGTCCAACTCGTCCTCATACTCCACCAGCCGGATGGTCTATTTGATTACAGCTCATTTTTAACCACAAGCGAAAACACATTTGGCTTTGTAGTTAAATGGTATTAAATGACCACACATACCTCCTGGTTTGGATCATCATCAAGCTGATCATATCTTTGTTTCACGGTACGTCCTGATGAAGTCACAGTTACCCGAGGTGATTGCTGTTGCACAAGTCAAGTTTATTAGGCACTTTTACAAGAAAATCTAGCAAAATTGGCATTATTATTCATTTATTACATTGTTTATTAACAAAAAGTATCCTTACATTTCTGTGTTCATCGATTATAATTGAGAAATCATCCACAATCATTGAAGGGGCAATGCTGTTTTGGTCATGGATAATTTTTAGCACTCTGAAGGAACAAATTTGACTATTAATAAAAATACAGTGCTGAATGCTATCATTGGTTTGCAAACAGTTTATGAACCAGAGAGAGTAGAATTGTACTCACTCAATAGATTTTGGTCCAACATGGATAATCCGACCAGTGTCATCAGGATGAAACATAATCACATCAGTCTCCAATGAGCAGCATTTCATATCTCGGATACCATTCCTTGCCTATTTAACAATAAGATCTCATTATTATCATCTCAAATCCCATTAGTTTAATAAAAGAAACCATTTACTTTCCATGCTTTTATAATTGCATTGATGTGTGTTTGTGTCTACTCTTGTCAAACACAGGTGTGGGCCACTTCAACCAAAAAAAGCTAACAAGACTTGAGTGCATTTATTTACAGACAAAAAAAGCACGATACTTGCAACATTATAGAACCAAGTAAACCCAATAATAGTGGCAGTATTAGAAGAATACAATACTCACTGGTGTGCAGTCTTTGAGGGAACAGATGTGGTAGGTCCCCTTGTGCTTTTTATGAGGTGGTGTGTGAATAAAGTGCCATGGATAACCAATCTGAATGCCAGTGTTAGAGCAGGATACCTCAAAAATCACAGGAAGGGAATCTGTGCAATACAACACAACACAATGATTTCATCTGTCATTTGATATTATAGTTAATAATCCAACAAACCTGTAATGTGGACATTGACTGGGATACCATAAGGAAATTCTCCAACGTTTTTCCTCCAAGAAGTGAGCTTTGCCTTCCTAGAGTCAATTTGTCTATAGTGTACTATAATGGGTAAAATGGAAAATGTGTAAGAACAGTGGTATTTAGACTTCTGGGCCAAGAAATAGAGCATCAAAGAATCGTACCCTCTGAAAAATATGTTCAGAGCTATACAATTTTACAGACTTGTTGATATAAGACACAGCAAGGACACCCTGAGACAGCACCACATCACTCACACTGCTCCCAAATACCTAAAAAAAAATTTTTTTTTAAATATTTTAATATTTAAACATGCACATTTAAATACCTGGAAAAATATAAATATTACAAAACATTTTCCCACAATTATATACTTAATAATACATGAATGCATACCTTCTTACTAATCTCTATAATGCCCACAATTTGAAGAGGAAAAGCTTTAAATACAGCAAGATGCATCAAGGTGTTATGTGTGATTCCAGCCTATAATATCAGCAGGACAAATGTAAGAAAACAGAGACAACTGTTATGACTCAATTTCATAAAGTTTAACTTTACCTGACGTTCGAAAACTGACTCTTTATTTTGAACTGACTTCACATATAACACTTCTTGTGAGACATCCCAGCCAAGGTATCTACAGAAAATATACAAAGTAAAAGTGTAAATATAGCTTTAGGCGACTTTAATAACTCTAGGACTGTGCCGTACTTAAATTTATGGTTTGGAGATAGGTAAATTCTCTCTAGCTCTTTGCCTGTTTGAGAAGAGAGACGATAAAGCCAGTTATTTGCAGTTAACACAAGAAGATTAGGTTTTTGATCCATAGGGGTTTCCAGTGCTTTGTCCTGAGTAAGAGAAAGAACAAGGTTGCATTTGTATTTTGTTGCATGTTTTCTAAGTAGCATTACAACAGCTCAAAACAATGTAAACTTTGATATGACTTACAAGTGGGGTCTGACACAGCAAGGCATCTTCAAATTTCTCCTGTTTAGGGCGTCTGGGTAATTTATAAAGAAGGGACGGTTCTAAATGAAGGCTGAAACAGAACAAACTCGAAATTATTTCAAAATAAAAGTATGGTATATCAGATATATAAATGTAATGTATTTGTAAATCAGTACACACCAGCTGTAACAGCTCTGATAATTTTCAAAGTACATCTGTCCAGCCTCACATGTTATTGTTGATTTTGATGATTTGCACCACACTTTTAAAAATTTCCTGGTGTCCTACAGAGATAGCAAAACATGAACAAAATTGTGCAGAGATATAAGCCTGTCACAACAAAATTTGAAGCACTAAGAAACTGCAATAAATTATAATATTGAAACTACTTCATGCCACTGATACAGTGTTGGATAATTCGAGTAAATCTTTAAAAAAAAAAAATAGTACCACTAAAACTCATGAGCTGCAACAAATAAATAGCTGAATGTACTAAAAAATTGCCATAGATGTTACTTAATAATGGCCCAACCCAAAACATGCTACATAGGTCTCCAGTTGATAGCCAAGGTCAGTTAAATACAATCAATCAATGAATCTGCCCAGGGAGTACAGGTGGAAATTAGCACTGGTGCTACAACCTGGTACAATGCATCTCACCTATTAAGGTTAATGTTAAAATTGTGCGCTGTCCCTGTCTCAGATAAAGAAATAAAATAAATAAATGAAACACACGATAAATATTGAAGCTCCAAAATATATCGGTCCAGCCCTTATATATTGCACTCTAAGTTGATATAGTAATTATCATAATATCATTGTTGCACTGTCTTCCTATGACCTCATGGATATAGTGAGATTTTAGTTTGACTTGTACATATACATTTCTATAATTATGCCTTATTTGACACTAGTCCATTGCTCTCTCTTTTATTTTTTTGCTACTTAGAAATTATATTTACCATTTATATTTTTTCTCTTTGTTACTATATTATATTGTGATATGTGAGCTACTGTGTCCAAATAATTTCCCTTGTGGATCAATAAGTTTGTCCAAGTTTAACAGAGCTACAGAGTTATGAACCCAGGAATAGTGTGCAATATCACCTGCAGGAGTAAGCCTCTCAGAAGTTTCATATTGTTCCTGCTCACGTTGCCAGCATCTCCAGCCTCACGACTTCTCCGATTCAAGACGTCAACAGCGTTAAGGCAGCGCTTTCTCCTGGACAGCGCCATCTGCCTGCGATAAGTATTTCTTACAACTAAAAACTCACGGTTAGCATGGCATCGGACAGGCTACTACTCAATCCAGGTAAGCACAACTTTAATTTTACAGTCTTTTGTCTTGAAATGATAATGTTTTTCTAATATTGTTTCGAGTCGTCGTGCAGATCGTAGCTACTTGTTCTTTCTCATTTAACATCCCGTGATAAAGGCAAAGATATCTCACAAAGGATGCAAGTTAGCACATTTTTATATCGACAAAACTACTTGCTTTGGACGAATGACAAAAAAAAGGGAGAACAAAACAACGATCTTGCCTTTATATTCAAATCGAGACGAATAAACAACATAATTAAACACTTTTGCCTTTGTTGTTAGCTGCCATGAGACTCACTCTTCTTCGACTCAGTGCCATTCAGGCGTGTAGCACATGTCATAGAGACGCTCAATGCTGCCACCTTTAGATAGAAAAACGAAATTTAAAAAAACAAATGATCAGGTGCACTTACTTTGACTTTTGTTAGCTTTCAGACATGTTATAATGTTGTTACCTCATTAAAAACATGCCTGAAGAGTTGTGTGAAGAGTTTCTTTCACACATGTTTGAGTAATTCTTTATTATTAGTCTGTCTACATCCTCAAACATCAAAATGCTCTGTTCCACCTTGTGATGCCATGTAGTGGTACCTCTCAAATTAACTACTACCTTTTACCTTTTGTTTAGTAGAGAATGGCAAAAGCTGAAATTATCCAAATAATTCTAGTGAAGATATAAGGAGTGTCAAAACACAGTGGAGCTCTTCCTGTATTACCACATGACATCACGAGGTGAAGTGTTTTCTGTTTGAAGTGTTTCCTAAATATGCAGGGTCTGTGTGTGTGTGTCTGTGAATGAAAGAAAGCATAACTCCAGGTACGTTTTTGATGAGGAAACAACATTATAACAGAAAGCAGTGTAATTCTGTGATTTTAATATGTTTCTTCTGTAAAGCACTTTGAGTTACTTTGTGTACAAATTGTGCTATACAAATAAACTTGCCTTGCTTTACCTATGAGCCCTTAATACCTGATTACTGATACAGACTAGAGACTAAATATTAATGTTATTTTCTTGTATTTACAGGAAATGCATTATCTATCGTGCCACTTCACAGCCAATTTGGCAAAGGGTTTCAGGAGACTGTGTTTGAGGAAAAACAGCACTGGCAATAGACCTGCTGCTCCTCTGGGTTCAAGAATTTTAACTAACTCCAATGACATATTTAAACATAATATGTGGTGAGTTATAGCAGTGTATCAACCATTTTCTCTCATGTTTCTCTCATCATAAAGTCTGTCTGATAAACAGTGACTCCAAGATGCCCAGTATTCATACACGCCATATGATAAATAATAATGCTGCTGCTACACATATAATAACAGTTTTTGATTTGTCTTTTTGATCCTAAAAGTTGTCCCACATGTTCACAAATGACACAGCTTTTCCATGTAAGGTATAAGGGTATGATCCTTATTCTTTGACTGTTTATAATAAAGGGACCATGTGCAGTGGACAGAAGCGGACAAAGAAAATGCACGACTCAAGGCAGAAGAAAACTCAAGCATAAGAGTTCCTTTGGATCAGCAAGGCAAGTGTACTGTAAACTACTGGTATTTTTCAGTTTGTTTGTTTTTTTAATCAACAACTATAAATTTATTTTATTCATTCACAGTTACATTTGCCCGAGATGCAGGGCAAATATGGGAGAAGTTTTATAAGACACACCACAATAAGTTCTTTAAAAATCGTAAGTGGCTGTTTGCAGAATTTCCAGAACTGCTTCCATCAGGTCAAACCAGGACCTCACAACCAGAACCCCGCAGCCCCTCTGAGCACATAGAAACTGCTCACCCAAGCTGTAATTTAGCTTTGGAAAACAATGATGGAGACACACAGACTCCTTCTTTCCCTGGACAGCATGCTGCATTTAGGATTCTAGAGGTTTGGCAACTATCCTACTATTTTGTATTTGTATACCTCTGCATAATCATGATCATTACAGACTTAAAGGTTTCTAATTTTTAAGGTTGGCTGTGGAGTTGGCAACAGTGTATTTCCTATTTTGAATACAATAAAGTAAGTGTAATTTAGAATTTTATGTATGCATTTATTTTTTTAGATATGTCATTAGAATGTTTTTTTACAGAGGGACAGATGCTTTTGTTTACTGTTGTGACTTCTCTTCACATGCTATTGAGCTGATGAAGGTAATGGTTTTAAAATATATTCATCAGTTTATATCACTGTATTAACTAACAGTTTAATGTATGTAACCTGTGCCCTTTGGACAGTGTGCTATAGATGCACTTTTATAGCATTATAGTTTATTTTGTAATAATATTTTTTGCCATAAATCTTTTGCAATTTTGACTCCTAAATTAGAACTGCATGATTTTGGAAAAAAAAATCAAATTGCAATCTGACAAGGATTTCAGTTGGATGTGCAATATACTAGTATGTTTAAAAAGTAGGATTCTGTTTCAGAGTGCCTATTATAAAGAACTCCAGAATGGTTAACATTTCAGTGAAGACTGAAATATGAACTGATAAACTAATACAAGAATCCCATACACTTCATAACATGTTTTTAGAGGTCTAAACTACATGCACAAGATTTTTTTCCATAAATAGATATTCAGTTCTTTACAGGGATCATTCTATTATCTAAATAACTGCAACCTACACAATTAGTTTTTACTCTTAACTCTACAGATATTGATGAGCAACATTTGTTTTTTACTCCCACAGGCTCACCCAGACTATGATGCCTCTATGTGTCATTCTTTTGTCCATGATATTTGTGATGAGGAGGTTCCCTTTCCCTTCCCATCTCAGAGTCTGGATGTTATTCTGGCCGTCTTTGTGCTCTCCTCCATTCACCCAGAGCGGTAGGTGAAGGTCAGGAGACAAAGACATGACAGGCTCATGTCATTTATCATCCACCAGCCCCACCAGCCATGTGTTCAGAAAATCTGCCCTCTTCAGTGCGCTGTACATTCTAATAACATCTTCATATGTTATTGTATTTGCAGAATGCAAGGAGTTGTTAACAGACTATCAGCATACCTCAAACATGGAGGAATATTCCTTTTCCGAGATTATGGAAGATATGATTTGTCACAGCTCAGATTTAAAAAGGGTAGGCTTAGGCTATTATCTTGCACATTATATCAGTCAGTATAATGTGCCTATTTTGTTTCACGAGCTGCTTTTGTCTAGGTCGTTGTCTATCAGAGAATTTTTACACTCGTGGAGATGGAACCTGTGTGTATTATTTTACCAAAGGTAATTTCATATAAAGAACTTCTTGTTTTTGAATAAATGATTAATCTCTAATTTTCTTACAGAAGAGGTTCAGAACTTATTTTTCAATGCTGGACTTGACGAAATTCAGAATTTGGAAGACAGACGTCTTCAAGTGAATAGAGGGAAAAAAGTAGTAATGCGGCGAGTGTGGGTGCAAAGTAAATTCAAGAAAAGATGATTTGTAATTTTTTTTTTTTTTTTTATATATATTTTTGTAATTATATTTACCTATAATTAAAGTGTCAATGACAATAAAGAATACAACTTTTTCTATGATTTGTGATTTGGACTGTGAGACAATTAAAGTTTATTCTGCATATTAAATTTCATGCATAAACTTGCACGTGTTAGTGTGTAGAGTCGATGTGCAAAACTATGCCCTGCTTATTTGTTCGGATTGTTCATTGTCGCGTCTAACTTCTTGAAAATTCTCTGCATTTTTGTCCCCTTGTTTTCATTGACGTTAGGAGAAAAAGTGCATCACCTCGCGATAAGATTTTTGCACACGATGCATGACGTTTCATGGGCTACCACTTGAAGACGGAGAGGTGGCTGTGGAGCAGGACGCACTGTTGAGGTGTGAAGAGGTTTGTGCCCTAAAATAGACAAAAGAAGACATTTTAGCCCGACATTGTTGTTGTGTCTATGTGCAAGAAAGACTGCCGCACCACGGGGTGATTTCCACAGTGATAAACACTTACGGTGCGTGAAACAGCACCTTTACACGAAAAGTAGCTTGATGAGTGTCCAAAGTAGTGGAAGTTTGGAGGGGACGCCATCTTTGGTCCCAGCTCTCCACGTCCCTGAAGCGGACTGTGTTTTCAGCAACATACCACGGCAGGGGTGAAGGCCTGGGAAGGTATCGTGAAATATTTTAGTAGGCATCTACCTCTTCTTGATGGTTGTCGAAGGTATTTTTAGCAGGATGTGCGCGAAATTGATTGCAACGACTGAGTAAAGCTTGGTGGCGAAACCTGCTTGCTAGCTAATGTTACTGTCAGCTCCAAAGTCCATTGAGGCTTTGGCTGTTAGCTATTAGCACTGAAGACACAGGACGACTATCTATCCAGGCCGGTGCACAAGCCAAAGACCCGTGCATTATGGTGGATAATTGTAGATGATCGCTAGTGTTGTTTTGCTTTTGTCCGTGCATCCCTCATCCAGCATACTCCCGTTGCTATTGCTAACCCAAGTTGTGTCGATGTAAAGTTATGCGATGGAGCAAATGTACATTGTTGGTGCTATATAATGTTTCATCACAGGTTCGGTATCATGCAGAACCCTGTGTATCAGACCATCGGGGGTGCACTCTTTGTTGTTTTGACTGATGTGTCTGCAGTATTGCGCTCCCAATTTACCTGTGTACATGACCTTAATCACAACGCACTGCACTGCCTGTATAATTACCATGTTCAGGTATTGTCCTGTTCTCGGTTATTGGCCGGAGACACCACTGCAGTGCTGGCAGGTAGCCTTATCTGACCCTCCAGGAAAGCATAACTCAGACTGATTGTTGGTGAAGATACCATTGTGGAAATACTCTTCGCTTTGTGGCTTCTGACCTGGGCATAGTTGGGTTGGTGGCTTGCAAAAGGCAGGGTAGTGCTGAAGAACTTAAAGAAGATTGGCATTGAACTGAGAATTTGACTTCACATCTGAGAACTTTGCAGCATGTTGTTTTCTCAGTTGCATCCATGATTGACAGTAATTGGCAGTGGATTCTTGCAGCAGCCTGCTTCATTATTCTGTTCTAAAGCATCATAGTGTTGGTCTAAAATCCATTCTTTTGGGAGATATGACATTTTCCAGCCATTATGGGTCCACTCCAGTGTGATGTGAATAGCCAGAGTTGAGGGTCCTATACTCTGTTTCTGAGTAATTGTCTGCACAATTGTGATGTTTGACTTGTATTAACACTGTCATCTGATGTGTATGCAGCACTGATACTATAGAGCTGCCTGTAAGGAAAATACTCTGCTTTTTGGGTCATAGCTTTTTGTATTCACCTTACTTTAACCCACAAATGCATAATAATAGACTATAGTTTACTTTAAAAAAAACAAAGCCTACCATCCTTTGCATCTTCATTTTTGCATTACTTTGGCTTGTTGTCTGAAACTGATATACAATTATGTCATAATTATTACTATTACACATCTGATCTTACAAGCACTTTTAAATGGAAGCATTAGTGTGCTTAAGTACATTTAAAACATCCTTGTGTACTAAAATAGATGTGTCAACAAGTCAAAACAGAAGTCATAGCATTCTGATAATGGCAGTATAAGTCTTATCTCCTATAAATTCAATATTTATCTTTTTTGTTGGAAGTCAATGCTGTATCTGGTGCCAGAGATCTGCAGGCCTTTGTACTTTCAAAATGGAGGTAGTTTGATTAAAGGCCAGGTTTTGGCAGCAGCAGGAGCAGCCAGTGAGTGAGCAGACCCCTCCAAGTCTGCAGCAGCACAGTGAGCTCACGTAACAGTCCCTCCGGAGCGCTGCATTCATCATTGCCTGCAGTTGAAACATTGCTCCTGGATTCTCAGGATAACACTGTGCTGATACATTTCCTCTGTGTCTTTTCAACTCCGAGATATGAACTTTACTAGCACAGTTTGAATAATGACCCTTCTCACACAATGGCCCGCAGTGTAAACAATCTGACTCTCTATCATTGAAGTGCTGGTACTATGTAATGTGCTATCTTCTTTGTTTAAAGTACAGACTAAATGTGTGTCTGCTGTTCTGTAGGCACCATGGAGGAGCTGCACAGCCTGGACCCTCGGAGACAAGAGCTGCTGGAGGCACGCTTTATGGGCGGGGTCAGTGGCAGCACTGGGGGCAGCACTGGCAGTCAGAGTGGAGGAACCAAAGTGAGTGCTTGTCATGGGCCCATGATGTACAGAGAATTTACAGTGTGGAAGTTTAACCTGTTCTGTTTTTTAGGGTTTGACCAATAATGAATGTTCAAACCATAGTTTTGGGAGCTTGGGATCCTCAAGCGACAAGGAGTCAGAGGTACAGAATGAATCATTTTAGAAAGACATGCAAAATTTATGTGTGACCTTAAAGCCATGTTGTAATGTTGCTACCTCCTCAAAAACATAGTTGAAGATGTGTTTTAGTAACCCTTTGTTATTAGTCTGTCTCCAAAACTCAAAATTCTCTGTTACACCTTGAGAAGTCATGTAGTGGTTGTTAACAGCTAGCTTTTACCTTTTAGTTCTCTAGAGATGGGGTCAAAATCATCCAAATGATTCTAGTGGAGGTGAATGGGGCTTAAAAACACAGTAGAGCACTTCCTGTATTACCACATGACCACATATTTTCAGTTTGAGAGAAGAACACAACCTGTTAAACAGTGAATGAAACAAAACACAACTCACAAGATCTGTGTTAGATGGGGACAATAGCATAATATGAAAATAAAATTTGAGCAGTGCTTTTAATTAAATCTCAAATTACATGTTTAATAACGCTTTAATTATATGCAATCCTCAATAATGTAGAAATCAAACCCTCCTTACGTCTACTCTTTCTCTGCAGGGGTCAGAAGTGAAAAGGGGTAGCTCTCCCGCATATTCGGTAAAGCTATTATAAGAACCCATACATTAAGTAGTAGTGATAGTCACATAATGAGACAGCTGATAATTCTTCCATTAATATTTTTACAGACCCCAGAGAAAAAGTCTGAAACGAGCAGAGGAAGAAAACGAAAACCTGACGTCCAATCAGAGAGTAGCCAAGGTGAGATTTTTTTAGACTGAGGCTTATTTTGCGGCTATTTCTGGTAGCTTCTTTCTCACGTCCAGTTCTTCCTTTTGTAGGAAAATCAACTGTGCGGGGACCCAAAATAAGTGACTATTTTGATGTAAGTTTCTATACAGAAAAAGTAGAAATAAAAGTATGTGATGTGTATCCAGTGTTGGGAAGTAACTTAATACGTGTAGAATGTGTATTCTGAATACTAATTTCACATAAATGTATACTGGTACAGTTACTTTTTCATTTGATGGTATTCAGAGTGCAGTTCTAAATACATTATGGTATTTGTTCATGTAATTATGGCTTCAAACTGCACCTAACTAATGAGAAACTGAGACAACTGTGCCCTTGTGGTGAGGGGTTTCCAATTCCAGTTGGTGATTGAAAAACCGTGAAACAAATATAAAGCTGTTATTAATACAATGTTGCATCTTTACAATATGAATGCAGCTTTGTGTAAAAGTATTCTAAGTATTCAGAGTACGAGTTTTCTGATTTGACCATGTATCTGACTACAAAATACATTTTAATGGCAATATTCAGTATTCTGTGACAACATTTTCAAATTATTCTTCCCATCACTGTCTGTATTGTCTTGTTAAAAATACGGTGATTTGAAAGTGACCTCCTCTGTTCTTCTGTGTGACTCTTAGTTCCAAGGAGGAAATGGGTCCAGTCCCGTGAGAGGTCTCCCGTCGATGATCCGCTCTCCCCAGAACTCGCATTCCCACTCTGCTCAGGGCACCTCTGTACGCCCCACTTTTGCACAGTTATAAAATCAGCATCCACTTAGCACAGCTCCTGAAAAGTCTCTTCTCTTTCAGGTTAGACAAAATAGCTCATCTCCAACAAACCTGTCTTTTATGGACCACATGACGCACCCAAAGCAACTCGCAGTCAAATCCATTCAAGTGAGTGAAATGAACACCATTACAGTTTTCAGACATCACAACATTCTACTGGACATTGATATTTAAATGTGCATTGTGTAATTTTTCTGTTCTGGCAGAGGGTCCATCATAAATGCTTTTCTTCATGGAGATGTTATTGCTTTGTCTGACATGTTTCACAGTATGGTATTAGACCTTTCTATCTTCATGGAGATCAAACCAAACCAGGTTACAGGTCAGATCTGTGGAGAGGCAACCCCGCTCACAGTCAGGATGCCTGTTTGTCTAGGTATTTTTGAGCTGTAAAACCACCTGTAGTTGAATAAATGTAAGCTGTTTAGTATCATACTGTGGAACATTTTAGGCAGAACATTGACATATCCAAAGAAACAAGCAGGTGACGGATCTTCTACCAAAAAAGTTACATAGTGCAACTTTAATACAGATGGGGCTCGGCTAAAATCAATATTGTTATGCAGATTTCTGTTGTAAGAAAGTGAGTCAACCCCCGGGAGTGTGAAAACAACCAATTTGTAGG